TACAGGATGCCCACAGAGTTGTTAACCCCCCCCCCCCCATTTCATCTGTAGCAGTTTCTCCTGAAGAGGTCTGAAATGGAATTGCTATATTGAGTGAAGTTCCCCTCACGGGTGTAGACGTGCTCCTGTTCTAGTTCTTGCATTTATCTACTCATGTTTTGAATTTTCAGATTCAAGCCAAGACTTACACTCATGAGATATTTAACTCACAGACCTTCCTGCTTTCCTTCTGGCTTGGAGAGCACAAATTATGAAACTTTCTGAGCCTCCATAGGCCAATCCTATAATGAACACACACACACACACACACACACACACACACACACACACACACACACACCATTGCTTCCATTTCTCTGGAGAACTTTGAATAATGTACCAGGTGCTAGACACTTTCACACACACTTCATCACGTAATCTTTGAAACAAGCCTGAGATAGATGTTATCATCCCCATTTCTGAAGGTGAAAGGAGGGATCCAGAGGGGTAACTTAGCTAAGGCTGCAGAGAGAAGACATAGCTATAGCTGGCTTTAGTTCAAATATTCTCCTCATCATCACAATTGCATGGCTCCTTTAAATTTCAAAGTGCCTTTCCAGTTTACAAAATAGATAAAATTAATCTTAATCTACAATCTACTGTAGTTTTATCTTCCATCTGAAAAAGTCTATCGTAATTCTTGTCCTCTGTTTAGGAAATTGTCCTCCCCGAAGGAGAACCCACCTCTTGCTATTGGAACCAAAAGTTCATATACTGGACTTACATTCCTGGTGGATCATCCTAGAACTGTCTTACTAAATATGGTAGCCACATTCACCATATATGGCCACTAAGCACTTGAAATGGGGATAGTGTGCATGTTGAAATAATATTTTGACATATTAAGTTAAATAAAATACATTGTTAGGTGGATAGAGAAATATTTCAGTGGTTAAGAGCTCATAATGTTCTAGCAGAGTTCAGGGCACCCACACTGGGCAGCAGACAGTCACCTGTACCTCCTCCAGCTTCAAGGGATCCAATGACCTCTTCCAATCTCCAGGAGCATTCACAAACATTCACATCCCCTTCTCATGTGTACATAATTAAAAATCCTAAAGTATATAGTTAGAATCTCACCTGTTATTTTTAAACACATTTTTATTAATTCTTTGAGAATTTCATACATGTATATAACATATTTTGATCATATTCACCCAAACTCCTCCCCCTAACTCTTCAGCTCCATCCCAGATCCACTCCCTACCCCCAACACCTTCCAAACTTTGTGTGTGTGTGTGTGTTTTTTTTTTTTACTTTGTTTTTTTAAAATAGCACATCAAGTCTAATTTTTGCTGCCTTTATACTCACGGACATGCGGCCATTCACTGGAGCCTAGGTAACCCACTAGGGACCACTCGCTAAAATAAAATCGAATTGCCCTTCTGAAGAAGCCATCAACTATCAATAACTCTCACCTAGGGGGTCAGGGCTCATGAGCTCCTCCCTGCTTCAGGCTGGAATGTTGATTAGATTGATCGTGTGCAGATAACCACAGTCACTATGAGTTCATGAATGCAGTAATCTTCCCCAACCTCTGGCCCTCACAATCCTTCTGTCCCCTTTCCACAGTGTTCCCTGAGCCTTGGTTTGAGGGTTCACTAGTAAAACACTTTTCTTAGTGTGGCTCTTAAAAAGAAATCTTAAACTAAATATGTAGCTTACCTTCTATTTCTGTTGGACGGCTTGAAACTACACTAATATATGACTGAACTGTGTCAATCATTTGTCCCCATTGAGGTTGAAAGCTAATGCTGTGAGACAATGTGACCTTCCCTTCCATTCCCCTGGAACTATTGACAGCAATCGTGGCTGCATCGTGTTTCAGGGGCATTAGAAACAGCATTTCTGTCTAAGTCATGAGGTATTACAGTCTCAGCTTAGGTTTCTACATTGAGCAGTGACTATAATAGAGGTTTCATGGATCTGCTGTGAGCATTGTTGAGATTGTTATGCAAGAAGATCCTATAGGTCCCCAACACCCTTTTCCTGTGAAGGCTCTTCATGATGTTCCCTTCTCTGTCCTAGTTCACAAGATCTTTCCTCCTTTCAGCAACAGTGGTAAGATACAGACCACACACTTGTCATCAGCTGCTGATAGTCTCACAGTGAAGTGTCATGTCTTCTCAGCCACACTGTAGAATCCCCATGGCAAGAGTACTGTGTTTCACATAATTGGGCTTGGTATCTGTCAGACCCTCTCAGTGACATCACTGAACAAAATACTTGTTATCACTACAGAAGATCCTGTAACTCTTCCAGAAGACTGCTTTGGGGTCTAAAGAATTAGGGGACTAGCTGGAGGAGCCAGTCAAACATACTAAAGAAGTCTAAGAAGTCAGCTCACACTTAGATTTGTTCCAGTTTTCAGTATTTCTTCTTCCTTTACACTGAAAATATACATAAGCTATGGTAGACTTTTGTTTATGCTGCATTTAACTCTGTGAACCTGTGATTCTTTGCCTGTCTAAAACACATGATGGTCTAATAAAGAGCTGAATGGCCAATAGCAAGGCAGGAGTAAGGATAGGCAGGGCTGGGAGGCAGAGAGGATAAATAGATGGAGAAATGAGGAAGGGAGGAGCAGCAAGAGAACAAGGAGAGGAGGATGGCAGGAGCCAGCCACCCAGCCACCAGCCACCCGCCACCCGGCCACCAACCACCCAGCCATCTGGCCACCCGGCCACTGGGCCACCAGCCACCCAGATAGCCATAGAGTAAGAAGGAAAGTAAGGCATACAGATGTAAGAAACATAAAAGCCCAAAGAGAAAAGATGGGTTAATTTAAGAAAAGCTGGCTAGAAACAAGCCAGGGTAAGGCCAGGCATTCATAACTGAGAATAAGCCTCTGTGTGGGAGTTATTTGGGAGCTGGGTAGTGGGCCCTCAAAAGGTCAAAAAAGCCAAGTAAAAAAACATCTGTCACAACATAAGTCTTTAAATAAAAGTACAAAAATTTAAAAATGAAGCTGGTAAAACGAGTGCTGCTCTAGTCTAAGAGAAAAGAATGCCAGCAGTTTTCATCAAGATCTCAGTGGGAATCCACTCAAGAACAGCATAAGATGGGCAGAAGCTTAGGTATCTAATGAAAGCTAAGGACAGAGTCAAGTACAAATAAGCTGTCTCTAGATCCATTTCCCCTCGATGGGAAGGACATGCCTGGACTGTGGGTCAAGACTGTCTCTAAAAGTTTTCTTGGTCAAGTGACTTAATCTCTTTGTATCTGCCCATGCACAAATGAGGATGACTACCTAAAGACCAAGGATCTACCATAGTACAATACACATCTCATTAACTTAAATCTTTCTTTTGCCCACCCCTACAAATACATTCAATATAATTTCTACCAACTGCTCTGCTCCATCACCTCTGACAAATATAAAAAAGTGACTTACATTTAACTTTTTAAACCAGTAAGTGAAAAACAATATAATATACCACTAACTACTTAGATCCAAATTTCCACATTCAATAATTCAACAGATATTTATTGAGCAACCACCCTTGCAAGTCATGGTGTTAAATACAAAGCATCTTCCCTTTCTTAGGAAGTTCACTGTTTAGTGAAGAGATAGTAAGTAAGCAATAAACATGTAATTTAAAGACATAACCAGACCCTGTGGCACATGTCTATAATCCTAGCACTTGGGAGGTAGATACAATATGATCACAGTGCATCCGAGGACAGAATGGGATAAGTGAGGCCCTTTCTCAAAAATAAAATAAAAACTGAAGGGCCAATTACGGTGGCACACACCTATAATACTGAGGAAGCTAAAATAGGATTACCAGTTCAAGGTCAGCCTGGGTTAAAGTGGTATCTTGTCTCAAAACAAACAAAGGTGATGATTTTCAAAAACATCCTTTGTGCCATGAAGAAATGACAAGGTACAATGATGATGAATCATGCATAGGGCAGGACGGCAGATTGAGTTAGGAAAGGTGACCCAGTGACCTTCCTGAGGTGGTAATTAAACCAAAACCTGAAGGATAACGAGAAGTTAGACATGTAAAAGACAAATGGAAGTTCATGCAGCTAGTCAAGTCCACATGTGCAAAGGCAGCCAGGAACCAAGTGTTCGGAGATGTAAATGGAAGATTCAACAGGTTAGAGGGACAACTCGGAATTAAGTCCAGCTTCCTACCACGGCCCGGGACCATTTGAACCTTGCCTCCTCGCACCTTTTAGCTTCCCTCACAAACTCATTCCACCTGAAGCACACTTTTCTGCCCCGGATCTTCCCATGGCATCTGGTCAGTCAGTGTTGAGGTCAGATGTCACCTGTGGCAAAAGACTGCTCAACACTGTCGCTTGGTGTCCATTCTCTTTCCTGGTTTGCGCTTTTCCTCTTCCGTATCACGCCATTGTCTATTTTCACAGTAGAGTGTGAATTCCGCATTGCTGTAGCTCTAGATTCGGGATCCGTATCTATAAGTGATAGATACCCAAAAGATACCTTTTTAACACCTAAGATAAATGGACAGACAGGTAACACAAGGTTAAAGAAAGAGATGATCCTTGTTTGAAACAAACTCAGAGGGCGTCCAGAATAAGTAGGTTTGGAATTAATACCGGAGAGGAGGGTTGGAGGGGCACCTACAGGACAAAAACTGGTTTTCTGTCTTCTCCATTGGGTTAGGGACTCGCTTAGCGCTAGGATCCATTTTCAACCATTTTTCTATAATCAGTACCTAGCCCAGGACCTGGCACTTGGTGGATGCCTGATATGAACAGATGCTCACAGATAACCTTAGTGTGCACAGAAAAAAAAAAAGTCTACTAATTTGGTTTCAGCTGAGCTGGGAAAGGTGAGCAGGTTGGAGACACAGGAACCCTGGTGCAAAGAACAGAAGAGAGTAAACCAAACACCGCAGAGACTGGGCACTGGGTGCCCGCGGCGGCTGCGCAGTCCAGTCCCTCATTCCCCGAACAGCGGGACGCCCGCCCGCCGCTCCCATCGCGCGTGCGCACTGCACGCTTCCCGCCTCCAACAAGATGGCGGAGGCCCTGTAGCGGGTGGGCGGAGTGTGGCTGCCGGAAACCCGGCTGCTGCCTTGGGGGAGCTTCGGGCGAAGGCCCGGGAGCAGCGGACCGAGGCTGGCGCGATGCTGTTCCCGGGAAGCGCAGTCGGCTACCGCTGAGGAAGGTGGAGCGAGGAGTTGCCTTTCCAGCGCCCCCTATGTACGCCTCCTCGCGCTCGGGGCCGGTCGCCGCTTTGCCCGCCTCGGCACCACCCGTGACTCTCGGGGCCCCGAGCTCCGGCGGCGGCCGGGACCGAGTCCCGCGGGAGGGGAGGCGCCCGGGCGGCGCCCGTGCTTGCGGCCGCGGAGCGAGCGTCTGGCAGGTGAGTGCGGCTGCGCACGCCGGCGACGGCGCCCGGACCCCGGCGGCCCCGTCGCTCCGCTCTCCGGTCTGCACGTCCCTGGCCTGCCCACTCCGGCCTTCCGCTGGCCGCGGGCTCGCGGGCTCCTCTTCCCACACCGTGGGCGGGGGTCGGGACTCCCGCCGCCCTCGCACCGTTTCCTTGCTCCGCGGGCAGCCTCGCCCCTGCTAGCAGTCTTCCATTCGCTCTAGGTGCCTGGGTCGTGCAGCTCGTTTCGTTCCACTTCAGCTTTCTTGCTTCCCTTTAAAACTTTTGAGCTCTGGGAAGATTATCTGAGCCTAGCTTGTGGAGTTAAAGGGGAAAGCTTGGCTCGTTTGTACAGAGACCGGTGGGATCGGTTCCGCATCGAGAAGGGAACGAGTCCCGGTAGACTGGGATGGGTTAGGAGTCTGGCTCTTGCCTACTGGAGCCTGCGATGGCAAAATGATTGTTAATCTCTTTCGGCATGGCTTTTGAGACGGAGGGGTGAGTTTGTGAAGCATTAGGTTTTGTGAGTCCATTGAAAGAATTGGGGAGTGTTATATTCTTTAAAAACAAAAAGACCTTATAAGTGCAAGATAACACATAATAGTACAAGAAAGGATAAGTGCAACCCCTTTGTTTTTGTTTTGTTTTTTAGAAAGAGCTGCTCAAATTTCTTCTATTCCCAGTACTAATGCCTAACAACGCTCAAAGCCCTTGATAGTCTCTATAACGCTGGCCCCTCAAGGTAATGCAAAACTGACCTGAGTAACTTTAGGGACCTGGCCAAAGTTTGCAAGTGCAAACTGCCCCATCAGAGTGGCAATGGAGGGAGTTGTCGGGTTGTCTGTTTCCTCTATCTCGTTACTTGTATTTGTCAAGAGCCCCAAAGTGGGATTAAAAATACTTATGCTTTGTCCTTCGGGATTGCAAAAAGAATGGGGCTTTGGACACTAGTTTAGAAAGCTGGGGCTTTTGCTCAGTGGTAGAGTGCTTGTAAGACCGACTCCATGTTCATTTCATTCTCCAGGACGGTAAAAAAATTATGCATTAAAGTTTTAGAATAGGATTGCCCCCAGTCTTAGATCTCATTTTTTTGTTGGTAGCCTTTACTCTTCTGTCACTAACAATTGCATGCTCATAGGTCTTGTCTGTCACTTCTATGCTTTCATTTCCATTTGAAGGTACAAGAAGGAAGCTGGGGCTCTAAACTCCAGTGGCTGAGGAAAATCTCAGCTGTGTGAGACATACTTCCTCTATTTCCCAGCCCCTCACCCCCATATTGTCTCCTTATTTGCTCATATTTCAGAGAAAGAAATACCTGTCTTTTCAAGAGCAACCCACCTGCAGGCGAGCCCATGATCAGCCCCTTCCCATCTCTCTTTATTCAGAACTACCCATTATTACTATGTGGAGGCCTCCTTCAGACATTCCCTCTCTCTCTCCTGTATGCACATTTGTGTTTTCCCCTGAGCTGCCAGATACAACTCTAGGGGGCCATTCCGAATTCCAAATTTTCCTTCAGAATGCTTTCATTCAAGGACTCTGATGTAGCGAGATAAACCCTTCAGTCTTGGTTTTGCTTGTGTTAAAACTGTTTAGCAGTGGGTGTGGTCATATTACCACTGAGACTATTCTGTATAGGTTCTTGAAAGTGCTTACCTTGCATGATGGATATAGAGGGATTTAATGTGTGTTAAATATCCATCTAAGTGTTTGGCACATTTTCATCTTTCATTTTTACTATGAAGTCACCATGAAATGGAAGTCCCTTACCGTTTCACTGTTGCTGTGGGGCTGACAAGATGGGTCATCAGGTAAAGAAAGACACTTGCCTTGAAACACCCCAGGATCCACATGGTTGAAGGAGATAACCAACTCTTACACTTTGTCTTCTGACCTATATCACACAGACACATAATAAATGTAACTTTAAAAATACCTTAAAAAGAAATCACCAGACAGCACTAAGCACCAAATCTAATGGCATCTTTGGTGTCCGTAGGCAATTTGTAAATTATATAATATGCTGTAGTAATAAATGACGTATTCTTGGTGTTCTACACTGTACTTCCTGGTTTCCTGATTCATTGAAAGTTTCTTCAAATGCCCTGCTCTATGTCAACTTTGTTCTTTGCTTGATCCTGATATCAGCTAGGCTGCAAATAGGATTTGCAAACAAAGGTAAGCATTTGACTCTGTAATTGGTAGGTGCATACTTAGAAATGGCAGGAAGTGTGGTTTGTTTAAAGATCATATAATCAGTGCTAAAAGTCCATTTTTCTTCTGTTTTCTCAATATTGTCCTCCTGTTTTTAAGTTCTTTGCTTAGATTTGCTTCTCTCCTAATAAGAAGACAGCTATTAACGTTCATGTTACTATCTTTGTTTACTGTCAAAGGGAGGGAGAAGGCTGCTCTTCTAGCCTTTCCCTGGAGTCCCCAGCTCTCTTGTGATTGAACAAAACAGAAGGTCATTCAGTTAGGTCTGGAGGAGTATTTTTTTGTCTGGGGGTGGTAGGTAGAAGTGAATCCTATCTAAAAGCAAGGACTGTAGCACCACACATGAAATAGATTCTTGAAAGGTATCTATCTGATGTCCTCAAGGCTTTGTATGTTCTTTGGTGTATTTTCTTGGTAATCATGTACTTTTTTTTTTTTTTTTTACGATATAAGTCATTTTTGTGTGGAACTCTACTTCCCACTTCCGTGGTTTGCTGTGTATCCCTTATATTAGATGTGCTGCCAAAATTCACGTGACAACAAACTGTATCGCTTTAGTCTGCATTCACCTACATCTTGTGATGTGTTCATATGTGCTTGTATGTTTATATTCTCTTCCTCCTAACTTCTCTTTTCTAACCGGTTTTCTCTCAGTCACCCATCATTGAACCTTATAGTCATATTGGTTCATCTACTGCCCATTAGTTGTCAGATCTCAAACATGTATACGTTAGGCTCCAAGTTACAGAATACTTGACTGGTTGACTTAATCAGTATCTCACATAAACAGATAGTTGAGTTAGAGGATTTCATGGCTAGCTAGTAAATTAAGCTGCATAGTGAGGTTTTCAGGGATTATCTCTATAATTGACTAGTCTTAGTTAGGGTTTCTATTGCTGTGAAGAGACACCATGACCACAGCAACTCTTATAAAGGAAAAAAAAACATTTAATTGGGGTGGCCTGCTTATAGTTCAGAGGTTCAGTCCATTATCATCATGGTGGGGGGGGGCATGGTGGTGTGCAGGAAGACATGGTATTGGAGAAGTAGTTGAGAGTCCTACATCTTGCAGGTAACAGGAAATGATTAGAGTATTGAACTGAACCAAGCTTGAGCAAAAGAAATGTCAAAGCCCACCCCTACAGTGACACACTTCCTCCATCAAGGCCACACCTACTCCAACAGTGCCACTGCCTTTGGAGGCCATTTTCTTTCAAACCACCACATGTACTAATGTATCACGAGTTCTAATAGGTCTTAATAAAATAAAATAAAAACACAGCATCAGATATTGGGGGTTTGGGGTGGGGGGAGAAGCAATGCAGCCAGCCACAAGCTCTTACCTCTACCTCTACCAAAGAGGGCAGTCCTGTCCTCAGACTGCCGCCTCAGACTGCTTCAGACTGCATCTCTCCTGTCTTCCTCCGGCCTTGTATTCCTCTCTCTGCCCAGCCATATCACTCCTTCTCCACCTTCTTAGTGCTGGGATTAAAGCATGTGATCCCAACTGCTGGGCTAGCTCTGTGCTCTAATCCTCAGGCAAGCTTTATTTGTCAGATCATAAAATATCAGCACACCTAACTTTTGAACATATGCATATCCCATCATGGTTGTAAATGGCTCTTTTTTCTCCAAGTACCATAGCTACCAAAGATAAGTATGCCCTCTTATCTCTTAATTAGGCAAGTAAACCTTTCACAAAAGTTCTGTATCAATCAAGTGTCTATCCTAATTATAATAATATTTAGAAAGCCCATTTGTGGTATTTAAGTATAAGAAGAGGCTGAAGAGAAAGTGACATATGGTGTCAGTGACAGAATCTACAGTGTTTTATGGAGAAGTATGTTTTACAAAGAGAATTTTACAAAGCATAAAGCACTGTTTATCTAGGTATTGTCATAAGCCATACATAGCTTTTTTGCCAAACATTTCGATAACCATAAGTAACTAAAGTAGTTTCTTACGTAAAATTTGTAAGATTTGAGTGGTAGATGAGAATATTGGATTCTTTTAAAGTTATATGATATTAAATACATTTAAACATACCTGTTAGAGTCTCTGTCTGAACCAGACATTCAGAAATACAGGGAAACATTTTTGGTTGTCACAGTAGCAGTCAAGTCCCACTAGCAGTTAGGGAGGTCAGATACACTAAGTAGCCTGTGATGTTTGGAGTGGTCTCTCAAAGCAGAATCAAACCTTAAAACTCCACTACACAGGCATTGCCTTTTAGAATTCACAATGATTGTAAATAACAGGACAACAAAGTCAAGCTGACTTTGAAAAGGCAATGATTAGATCTTGTGTTGAATGTTAGCTTAGGCATCACTCAGTGGCTCCAGTGAGAGGGAGGACTTGGCTCAGTTGCTCTGATTTGTTGTGCTCTCTCATTTCCCTTGATTCTGGTTTCATTTCTAGGCCAGCCTGATGGTAGCAAACTATTGTAGCACTTTCAGACTATAGCCCACATTTCACACAAAATAAAACAAAGAATCGTGTTTATATTTGATGTGTTTGTCAGCATCATCACGCCTGACCTTCCCTAAGCATCTGTTCCTACAAGGTTTATTAAGTTCTGTCTTATCACAACTTTGAAGACTGTCTCCATTGTGTATCATACGCTAGTTTTTTTTTCCTGTCTCATGCGTATTCTCCCTTATTATTTTTATGTTCTTAAATTCTAAATGTCTAGTTTACTTTGTGGTTTAGTGGTTTGACTATATGTGGAATGATTTTGTACTTGGCACAGAAAGATAGGTTAGCAGTTACCTATTGAAATA